AGCCGGGTGACACCTGCCCTCCCACATCTGGGAGCCCCACTCCCTCTGCAGCCCCTGAGGGAAGGAACTGCTCCCTCACAGCCCCCTGATTGAAGGGAGCCCCCCTGCCACCCGCAGGCCCCCAAGGGTGGGGAACACCTCTCACCCTGCAGAGTCTGCAGGCACTGCCCCGTCTTGATGTCCCAGATCTTGACGGTGGAGTCGGCGTTGCCAGACACAAGGATGTTGTCGCGCAGCTCCATCCCACTAGTGAGGGACTGGTGCCCCATGAGGGTGTGCAGGCAGTTCCCACTCTCCACGTCCCACACGCGGATCGACGTGTCTAGGGATCCGCTCACAATGTGCGTCCCATCAAACTGCCAGAGGGGGAGGCCCAGCTCAGCACTGGAGCCAGGAGTGCCCCTTGCTTTGGGGTGCAGCCCCCCCAGCTCCAGCTCAGTCCCTGGCTCAGTGGCTGAGTCATGGCCTTACATACCCCTCAGCTTTTTGGGGTCTACAAATGCTCCAGGGAATGGGCACAGAGGAGTGTTTGTGTCCACAGCATGTGTGTGGGAGGGAGTGTCAGGGAGGTAGAGTGTCCCCACAGGACACAGATGTGGTCCATGTCTTTGCATGGCACAGATGTGTCCCTTAAGGGCACAGATGTGGCCTACATGTCCCTGCAACACACATAGGGACTGTGTGGCACAGCTTGTGCCCCGTGACTGGAAAGCAGGGGAATGACAGGTGAAGGCAGCAGAAGGGCAGGTGTGTGAGGTTGTACCTGCAGAGAGCAAGGAAATCAGGGGAGCTGGAGGGGGGGAAGGCAGCAGGAGGGGAGGTGTGGGGCCGTACCTGCAGGGAGTAAACGCGGTTGGTGTGCCCCTGCAGGGTGTGGGTGCAGCTCTCGCTCTCGGGGTCCCACACCTTGACCGTGTAGTCGTAGGCGCCACTGACCACCTTGTTGCCATCGTACTGGACACAGCGCACGGCCGCCACATGCCCCATCAACACGTGCAGGCACTGCCCCGTCTCGATGTCCCAGAGCCGCAGCGTGGCATCCCGGGAGCCACTCACCACCCTGTGGGCAAGGGGACATCTGGGGCCCGACTGCCAGGGTGGCCTCAGGGCCACGAGGTTCACCTCCTGGGCTCCCCCTCCCACAGAGCTCGCTCAGCCCGTACCTGTTGCCGTGCAGGTGCATGCAACGCACGGTGGAGGTGTGTCCATACAGCGTGTGCACGCACTCGCCACTGTCCGCATTCCACACCTTGAGCGTGCGGTCCGTGGAGCCGCTGATGACGATGCTGTCCCTCATCTGGGAGGACCACACGCCGCCCGTGTGGCCCACTAGTGTCTGCACACACTGCAGGGGGCAGGGTGTGAGGGACAGGTGGGCCTCTCCCACCTACCCCCACCTGCGTCAGGGCAGAGCAGCACAGCTCAACGTCCTTGTCACCAGGTGCCCAAACTGATCCCCGGAGTCAGGGTGCAGCCACACCTGTGCTCAGCATAGGGGGATGGTCCCTGTCCCGGCTCCCCGTGGCACCAGTGACAGTGCCACACTCATCTGCCCCATAACAGTAATGTCTGCCCAGTGACAGTGACACCTTCTCCGTGACAGTGACACTCACCTCCCCGGTGACAGCCGACCACACCTTGAGCGTGTTGTCATCAGAGCCGCTGACGATGCGGTTCCCGCAGAACTGAAGGCACGTGATCACGTGGTCGTCGTGGCCTTTCAGCACCTGTGGGAGCACAGGCACGGAGGAGGGGCAGTGTGGGCCCCCCTAGCCCACAGGACCCCCCAAACACGGTGAGCAGTGGGAGGCAGCAGGTGCCGTGTGGAGGAAGGGCAGAGGGCTCCCCAAATCACCTGCACCTCCCAGTGCTTCTGCAGGGCAGCAGAGCCGGGGGGAGTGGTTGGGCAGCTGCTGCCAGGGGCAGGAGCCTACTGGGGAACAGGGAGTGGGGGGGGGCTCAGGAGCAAGACAAGAAGCAGCAGAGGCTCTGCCCAGAGGGCAGGAGGGACCCCCAGCAAGAGCATCCCAGGGCTCTGGGACCCTGCATGGGAGACAGCTGAGCCCTGGGGGGGCTGTACCCTCCCTGGGTACTGGACTTGGCTGCAGCCCTGCACAGGGGCTTGGAGAGGGGCAAGGGGAGGGTCCCCCCTTACCCGAGCCCATGGGACTCCACTTCTGCTGCCCCCACTGCTTTGAGCTGGATCTGCTCCCTGTGGCTGATCCCACACCAGCTCCCCCTGTTGCAGTGCCCCAGACCCACCTTGGGGGCTCTCAGCTCTCCAGAGTCCGTCCCTGGTGGACACCCAGACCCACCTTGGGAGGCCGCAGCTCCCCACTGCGCCAGTTCATGTCGATGCGGTGCTGGCGCAGGAAGGCGAATTTCCAGGGGCTGTACATGAACCCGGGGCTCAGCAGGCGCCGCTTCCGCAGGTGCAAGGGCTCCTCGATCCCTGCGGGGGGAATGCAGCGGTGCCTCACCTGAGCTGAGCCCAGAGTGGCCCCCAGCCTCCACCCTGGGGGGCCCTCACCTTCCTCGCGGCACTTCTCCCTCCAGAGCAGGTTGTCCTCAGCCAGGACTCTCCAGTAGCGGCAGGTCTGGGCAGCGCGGAGCAGGTCCCGCGGCTCCAGGAAGGACAGGACATACAAGGCCAGCTGCACAGGGGACAGGGGTCACAGGGGCCCCTGGGGGGGGTCAGGCCATGCCCGTGGGCCCCCAGCCCCACTCACCTCCTTGGGCAGCAGAGAGATGAAGTCCCGCTGGAACTGAGGCTCGATGACCTGCATCATGTACTTGATCTGCGCCGGCTCGCAGCGGTCAATGAGCTCGTCCAGGGCCAGCAGCTTCTCGGGGCCGCTCCAGCGCTGCAGGGAGACCCTCGGTGACCCCCAGCTCCGTGTCCCTAACCACAGGCCAGCACACAGGTGGGGACCTCCTGGTGCCCCCAGCCCAGCCAGCCCAGGCTCCCGCCCCAGTCCCCAGGCCAGGAACACAAGGCAGATGGGAGCTCAGTGGGACACATGCGGTGGGGTCACAGGTCACATGCAGTGTGACAGGTGACACCATCCCAAGCCAGGGGGTAGCAGGATGGGGCTGACACCCTCTCTGTGCTCCCTCACCTGAGCAAAACTCCCCAAAATGCACTCTGGGCCCAGCCCCTGCCCGCAGTGGGGATCCATCGGGCCTGGCTCCTACCCTTTGGAGCCCTAAGTGAGCCGTACCTGAAAGGTGCGGAGCCAATCCTGCAGCTCAGGTGGGGGAGCCACCGAGGGGATGCGGCGGCGCCGGGCCTGCCCCGCCTTGGCATTGCGCAGGTCCCCGAAGGTGGTGGTGGGGCTGGGCGTGCAGGGACCCAGTGTCCTGGGAGAGACCAGGCACAGGTGAGGCCAGGGCACAGGTGAGGCATGCCAGCACTGCTCCAGGCCACGCCATGCCAGAGGATCCAGGAACTGGTCCCCACCACTGGTAGCTCCACCCTGACCCTCTCCCCTTGCTCCCACTCTGCTGACCCCTTGCCCAGACTCCCACCCAGCCACAGCCCCCAGCCCAGCCTGCTCAGCAAATGGACAACTAGTCAGGCCTGGAGATCATCTGGGCCAAACCCTGATCAACCCAGGTAGCTCCAGCATCCTCTCGGGGTGAGCCAGAGGAGGTATGTGTCCCCCCCAGCACATGGAACCTGCTCACCTGCTGTACTCAGAGCCCCCTCCCCCTTCACCTCGCATACCCAGAGCCCCCTCACCTGCCATACTCAGAGCCCTTGCACAGCTTCTTCCCAGGGGACAGGGCCCGGCCATCCGGGCCGTTCTCTGACTTCCGCTTCATCTGCAAGACACGGCAGGTTGGAGTGGCTGAGGCAGACCCAGACCCCACTGACCCCTTTGAACTCCCCACCCGGAGCTGAACCCCACATTTCCCTAAATATTGCCTGCCCAAAGCCAATCCCTGTGGATGCCCTGCCCAGAGCCATGGGGCAAACCTCTGCCCCCTTCTGCTGCCCCTCTTCAGGGTCCACATGGCAATCAGGGACTCCCCTGCAGGGCTGGGGGGCTGCAGCAGGGCTGGGGACTGGGGCAGGGCCTCCTTCCCCAGCCCCAGCAGCTGGGCACCAGGGACCCCCCCAGCGCTCAGCCCAGCAGTCCCCTCATGACAGCCCCCCACTGTGTCAGGGTGACAGCAGCAACAGCCAGCCCCACCCTCCCCCCTGCAGGCCCCCCAAGTGCCTCATCACCCCCTTGGTCACCCCCACGGTCACCTTGGGGCGCAGGTGCCGCAGCAGCCCCCGGTCCCCTGTGCGCTGCAGGTAGTCAATCCAGCGCTCCCCCAGAGTGTAGTACAGGTACACGTTGCTGCCGTCCTCCCCCTCCTCGCTGCAGCAGCTCCCTTCCTCTTCCTCCTCCTCTTCTTCCTCCTCTTCCTCCTCCTGCTCCCCAGCAGAGCTGGGGGGCTCCTGCACTCCCCGCCCCCCAGATCCATCAGGCTCTGCTCCGGACCCGGGGCTGCCCTTCCCAGGGCGCTCCGACTCCCAGGGCCCTGGCGCTTCCTCCTCCTCCTCGTCCTCCTCCTCCTCGGCCACCGCCTGAGCACAGGGAGAGGCATGGGCAGGGCTGGTCCACACCAGCGTTGGGGGGCTGGGGAGCTGCCAGCGAGAGCCAGAGCCCCGGAGCACAGGGACTCCACTCACCAGCACCACGGGGGTCATGGGGCCAAGCACCCCCAGACCACGGGCACCAGCTGCTCCAGAGCCCAGCGCGGGTCTGTCGGCTCCCCGCACACCAGCTCCCCTCCCCCGGCCCTGCCCCTACCTGTGCCGCGGGCACCCTGCTGTCCCCACTGTCCCCTGGCTGGGCGGGGCTGGCCCGTGGGGCCCCCTCGGGGCCGGGGCGCCGCCGGCACGTCATGCGCTGGCTGTTGAGCTCCAGGATGCGTGTGGTGATGCCCTTGACGTGCAGCAGGTCATCCAGGCAGGTGAAGCCCTTCAGCTCCTGCGGGGAGCGAAGTCAGCCCTGCCAGGAACAGCTGCTCCTGGGAATTCCTCCCGCTCCCGCAGATCCCCTGCCCGAGCAGCCTCACGGGGAACGGGCACGGCCCCGGGGCAGGGGCACTGTGCCCCCCATGGAGCAGTGCGGCTCCGGGCCGTCCCGCGGGACCCCGGGCCGAGCACCGCCCGGGCCCGATCCGGTAGCAGGAACCTCCCGTCACACCCGCATTGGCTCCCGCCGCGCCTGCCACGGGATGAACCCGGCCGGGCTGTGCCGGGGCAGGACCCAGGGGGGACCCAAGCGCAGCTGGGAGTTCCGGCAGGGCCCGGACAGCCCTTCAGACCCGGCAGGGTTCGGTTCACGGCGATATTGCTGCTGCTCCCTAACAGCAGCACCAACCGGGATCGCCCTACTCCAGATCCCCCTCACCGCCCCTCAGACCACCCCCCCTCGCGTAACCGCCCCCTGCCCTCCCGGCGCTTCCATTCCCGGTGTTCCCAGCTGCTCCCGCCCCCTCACCTCCCCTTTCCCAGCCCAAAACAAGCCGAGCGCCCCCGGCGCTGTCCCCGTGGCAGGACTGGCGTTGACCCGCCCGTCCGTGCCGCTCCTGTCCGTGTCACCGGTCGCCGCGGGGTCCCCCCGCAAGCACTTCCCGCCCCATAAGCGCCGGTGACGGCGCTCGGAGGCCGCGGGGGCGCGGTGCCCGCCCCGCCCCGCCGGAACCCGCGTTCCCCGGAGCCGGCAGCAGGGACGGCGGCACCGAGGCCGCTCGGGGGGCACCTGCGCTCGCCCGGCCCCGCGGGGATCCCGACCCACCCCCCGCGGCCGCCCCCAGGCCCGGCGCCACCCGCGCCCCCCCGCCCCCCCCCCCCCCCCCCCCAGGAGCGGCACCGGCACCCCCGGGACCGACACCCCGCCCCGCCGCCCCCTCCCCGGCCCCGCCGCCTCCCCCGGACCTCTCTCTTGCGGACAATGCCTCGGGCGCGGCGGCGGCCGATGCCGCTGAGGGCACCCTCCAGCTCGGCCACGCCGGCGCGGTTGATGTCGAGCTTGGCCCCGCCGGGGCCCGGCCCGCCCGGCCCCGACATCCCGGTACCGGCCCCGGGCGCCGCCGCCGCGCAGGCCCGACCGTACCGCGCACGCGCGCCCAAGGCCCCGCCCCCCGCCCCGACACGCACGCGGAGCAGAGCGGAAACAGCGGCTTTATTGGTGGTGAGCGCGCGAGGGGGCGGGGCCAGCCCGGGGGCGGGGCCAGCCCCGGCGGCCCCGCCCCCATCACCGCCGCTTGTACAGGCAGGGCCGCAGTCGCAGCCCCGGAGCGGGGCCCGCCCGGCACGGGCCCGTCTTGGCGAACTCCAGCACGTAGAAGTAGGAGCTGGAGAGGTCCTGGGGGCACAGGGACAGGCGGCTCCATCACCCGCACCCCGCGATCACTGGGGACCCCAGCACTCGCGGGTGCCAGCACCACCCACCGCCAGCACAGCACTGGGGCCCCAGCGAGCCCCATGTTCCCCCTGCATGCTCCGGGCCCTCCTCCATCCCGCCCCACAGCCCCTGTGTGCCCCCAGTGCCCCAGATGCCACCCCAGACCCTGACCCCAATGCACCCCCCAACCTCCATAACCCCATCATCAATCCCCAGACCACAATCCCTCCAGGCCCTGGTACCCTTGACACTCTCCAGGCTCCACCACCACCACACCCAGGCCCCGCACCACAGGCTCAGTGGGCCCCAGGTCCCCCCTACCAGACCCCAGCAGCCCCTTCCCTGCATACCCTGAGTGCCCCGACCCCTGGTGTGCCCCTCTCCTCAATACCCCCACAACTGCCAGGTCTCTCAAACCTCTGTCCAGACCCCCACCCCTGTGGGCACTGGGTTCCCCCCCAACACCCATGTGATTTCACAACCCCAGGGGCCTGCTCCCCCCCCAGCACCAGGCTGGGCCCCAGCACACCTTCCCCACAGGCTCCTTCCTGGGGCTCCCCAGTTCCCAGTGCACCCTCAGTGACCAACCTGGGCATACCCAGGGACACACCTTGGAGACTGTTCTGAAGCCCAGCTGTGCCATGGCCTTCAGGAAGGTGCGGATGTCCTCAAAGCGGCTGGCCACCTCGGCCACCATTAGGGTCCCCCTGCAGTCACCCCGGTCCTGAGCAGGGTGCCCAGGCACCCTTGGGGCACAGCCAGTGCCTCTGCCCCCCCCCACCCCCACTGCCCCCCAATCCCTGCCTACCCCAACTTGAGCACGCGGTTGGCCTCCCCCAGGATCTCCTGCAGGTTGGTGCCCATCAGCGCCAGGCAGAACACAGCCACGTCCACTGACTCATCTGCCAGCGGCACCTGCCAACCCAGGACAGCCCAGAGGAGAAGGAGGGTGGTGATGGGGCTGGACAGCCCCACTGGGCTCCCCAGGCTTGTGGGTCCAGCTGAGCCCCATCTCCAGCTGCCCGAGACAGACGCACGGGACCCTCGGGGTCACTGTCCCCTCCCCGCAGCCTGCCCGGCAGCACCCGCCCCCGCTTCGGAGGTGTCCCGGTACCTCGGCCATGTCACAGACAGTGACCCGCGGGCTCAGCGGCACCAGGTCGAAGCAGTGCACCCGGTTCCTGACGCTGGCAGCCAGCGTGCAGTCCCCGCACCCGAAATCCGCCACCACGAGCGACGCCGGCCTGGGGGGGCAGCGGGGTAAGGGCGGCCCGGCCTGACGTCCCCCCGGTGCGACCCCTGGTCCATCCCCAGTACAACCCCGGTCCCCGCTCACCGGCGGCGCAGGTAGCGCACGATGCGCTGCACGGGCCGCTCGGGCCAGCGCCGCACTTGGCGCTCGAAGCCGCGGTGGTACAGATGGAAGGCGGCGGGATCCGCGCGGAAGAGCCGCGCCGCGTCCCGGCTGCTGCCGGTGTAGAGCTGCTGGTTCAGGTACCGGAACTGGGCGCCGAGCAGCCGCTCCTCCATCCGCGCGCGGAGCGCGGCCGAGCGGCCCGAGCGGGGCTCTGGGGGCGCCTCCGGGGGGCCCGGCGGCTCCGGGGGACCCGGCGGCTCCGGGGGGCCCGGCCCCGAGCCCCGTTCCTCGCCCGGCGCCGCCGCCGGCTCCTGCTGCCGCCGCTGCCGCTTCTTCTGCCGGTTCCGCCGCTGCCTCCGGCTCAGCTCCGCCGGCGGCTCAGCCAGGCCGTCTGCGGGCACCGAGAGGGCGGTGAGGGCGCGGCGGCGGCTCCCAGCTGTCCGCCGGGCCCCGGAGCCGCCCCGGTACCTGCGTCCGGGCGCTGCAAGTTTTCCCGGGGCTCGCCGGGGCCGGCCGGGCGCTCCCCAGCCGCACCCCGAGGCACGCCGGCCTTCCTCCGCCCCCGGGGCCGCTTCCGCGTCGCCTCGCCGTCCAGGCCGGCCCCCGGCAGCCGTCGCTTCCCCGCCGCGAAGCCCTGCGGAGGGCGGGGGCCGGTCACTTCCCTGCGCCCGGGACCGGCGCGGCCCGCCGCCCCCACACCACCCGCTTACCGGCCGTCCCGGGCCCTCGGGGGCGCCGCGGGGCACCGGCTCCGCCGCGTCGTTCCAGTCCCGCTCCGCGAACATGGCGCGGGGACTCCCGGTACCGGACACACGTGCGCGCGCCCGCGGCACCGCGCCGACAGCGCCCCTGCGCGGCCCGGAGGACCGGCGATCCCGGTGAGGGGGCGGGGCCGCGAACGCCCCGCCCCAGCCGGTTAACCACGCCCCCGCGCCGAAACCACGCCCCGTCCCGGTGCCGACGCCCCGCCCGTGGCCCCGCCCCGGTGCCGTGTGGCGGAGCCGTGTCCGGTGCGGGTTCCGGCCGCCAGGGGGCGTCGTGCCGGGCGGAGCCGCCGCAGCCGCCGCCCTGCGGAGCCCGGGACACGCACCGGTAACGGCGGCACCGCCACCGCCACCCGCACCCGCGGGGCCGGGCCGCGGGATGGGCCAGGGGGCTGCGGGGAAGGGCTGGGGACACAGGGGAGAGGTTGAGGGGACCGCAGGGGGGGCAGAGGGGGGCCCCGGCAGCTGGTTTGGGGTCACCCGGGGGCGCGGGGGGGCACAGGGTCCCCACATCACGTCCCCCGCGGGGCGGTGGGGCCGGTCCCGGGGCTCGGCAGGGCGGAGGCGGGCACCTGGCGATCCCGGCTGGGCTGGGGCGGGGGGTCCTGGCGGCCCCGCGGGACTGGGCGGGGGCTAGTGGGTGACAGGGGAGTGCAGCAGGGGACGCGGCGGGGTGTCCCCACGGCGGGGTGTCCCCACGGCGGGGTGTCCCCGCGGCGGTGAGAGCAGGGAGGGGAACCACAGGGCCGGGACCAGTGTGGGGCGTCCTGGGGTGCCCCCAGGTGGGTGGGGGATAAATCCCGTCCGGGGCTGCGGGTGCTCCAGAGCCGGGAGAGGGCCGGTGCTGCCACGATGTGCCAGGGCTATTCTGGGGCCTGAGAGACCCCGGCGAGGGTCCAGGGTTCTGCGTCCCACCCCCCTGGAGCCGCCTGGGGCAGGGGGTGCAGGCAGGGCCCTGGGGGGTAGCTGCCAGGCGCTGGCAGAGGTCCTGTCGTGGCTGGGTGGGCACCGGGCCCTGGGGGGCCCTGCAACAGCAGGTTTCAGCCCTCACAGGTGCACACTGGGCACATCGTGCGCAGTTTGTCCCTTTCCCCTCACTATGAGACTCACTCCATGTCCCAGCTCGATGCCACAGAGCCCGGGCAGGGTGTCCCATGCTCACAGCCAGGGCCTCGGGGGGACAGCAGGAGCAGGAGGGAGCTCTGTGCCCGGATCCGAGCTGAGGTGTCCATGGATCCAAGGGGAGTGCATGGGGCTTTGGGGTCCTGGTTCCTGAGCATGGTGCTGTGCCAGACCCAGCCAAGGGGGTCAGGGTAATGGAGCTGCAGGAGCCTGTGCAGGGGATGCTGAGCACCCCCAGCCCTGCTCTCCCCGGATCTATGGGATCCCGTGCTGGGGATGCTGAGCACCCCCAGCCCTGCTCCCCCCAGATCTATGGGATCCCGTGCTGGGGATGCTGAGCGCCCCCAGCCCTGCTCCCCCCGGAGCTGCGGGTAAAGGGCCGGCTGTGCCCGGCGATAAGCCTGGGGGTGCCAGGCTGGCTTCCTGCGGGTGGCCGCTGCCCCGCTGGAGTCACCCGGGAACTTCCCCTCGGGCCGCTGCTCCGGCTCCATCCCAGCCCTCGGCCTCCCACAGGGCTGCGGGGAGGGGCTGGGAGGGGACAAGGAGGGGGCCGGGAGGCTCCTGCCATTGCTGCCCCAAGGGTGAGCAGGATCGGGGTCCCCACATCCTTACCCCCCTTCGCTCCCACAGTCGCCATGGACGACATCTTCACGCAGTGCCGGGAGGGCAACGCGGTGGCCGTGCGGCTGTGGCTGGACAACACCGAGAACGACCTCAACCAGGGGTGAGCGGGGCCGGGCCGGGCGGGGGGGCTGTGCCGGGGGGGTTGCACTGGGCTCCATGTCCCGGGCGGGCGGTGGGACGCGGCTCCTCCCCGCCGGAGGAAGTTACCGCATCGCTGAGGCACGAGGCCGAACATCCTCCGGCCGCTTCCTCGCGGCCACGGCCATGGCCAGGGCTCGGCTGGGCCGGGGGAGCCTCCCCGTCCTCGCGGTGGCCACTGTCTGGTGACTGTGTCCCCGTGCTCTCTCCGGGGAGACCACAGCAGCTGTGTGGGCGCACGGCTGGGTCTGATGGGAGGGCCGGGATCACCGGGGCCGGGGGCTGTGTGGGGCCCATGTCTCTGCCCCACACAGCCCCTTCTGGGGGTCCCACTGGACTGTGGGGCCCACAACCATTCAGGAGCCGTGTTTGGGCCGGGCACAGGGCTTGGAGCAGCAGCCACTCATGGTGTGTGCAGCTGGCACAGCCCAACCCCGCACAGCCTGACCCCGGCCAGGCCATGGCTGCAGCGTTCTGGATGAGCTCTGGACAAGGGGCCTCCCTTGGCTGTGCCTCCCCACCCCTCCCGGGGTTCCAGGCACATGGAGCTCTCCCAGTCCCACAGAGGGTGTCCAAGGGACAGGGGCATTCTGTGCCAGGTACCCCCTGGCTGTGGGGCCATGGTGGGGGTGGATGTGCAAGGGAGCTAGAGGGATCCTGGGCTGGAGGGGAGCTGGGGCTGTGGCAGCCCCCCTGCCAGTCCCTGATCTCCATTTAAGGCCCGGCTGCTGCCTCCTCCCTTACTTGGCCACGGAGCCGGGGGACAGGGAGGGGATCCAGCTGTGATTCAGCCCTGGAGTAGACAGGATTTGGCTGGTGCCACCGGGGCCCTGGTGGGGGTAGGCGGGAGTGGGATGGATGCTCGGCCTGGTCCCGTGGCCAGCGTTTGGTGGGCAATGCCCACTGTGCCCAGGCTGAGGGGCTGCAGCTGAGCAGAGCTCCCCCACTGCCCCACAGGGATGACCACGGGTTCAGCCCCCTGCACTGGGCCTGCCGTGAGGGCCGCTCCAACGTGGTGGACATGCTTATCATGCGAGGGGCTCGCATTAACGTCATGAACCGGGGGGATGACACCCCGCTGCACCTGGCCGCCAGCCACGGCCACCGCGACATCGTGCAGAAGGTACCTGTGCCCCCTTCCAGCACCTGCCCTTCCCCACCCCCTGTGCAGCCCATCACCCCACCCACACAGGGCTCAATCCCCACGTCACCCGGCATGCCCACAGTGCCTCTGAGCCCCCCCCCGACCCCCTCTGAATCCCTATGAGCCCCACACCAGCTCAGCCCCCTCCCCACAGCTCCCAGTGTGCTGCTCCTGCCTCCCCCAGGACAAGGCGCAGGGAGGACAGGGACAGTGCTGGGCTCACGGGGACAGTGCTGGGCTCACGGGGACTGTCCCCTGTCTCCAGCTGATGCAGTTCAAGGCGGACATCAATGCAGTGAACGAGCATGGGAACACACCACTGCACTATGCCTGTTTCTGGGGACATGAGCAGGTGGCCGAGGTGAGCGGGAGCACCTGGATGGGCAGGAGGGAGAGGAGGGGAGGGGGGAGCCTCCTCTTGAACCACAGCCTTTGCTCTCTGCTTGCTCAGGACCTGGTGGGCAGCGGGGCCCTGGTCAGCATTGCTAACAAATACGGCGAGACCCCCACGGACAAGGCCAAGACACCACTGCGGGAGGTCCTGAAAGGTACGAGGGCCCTGTAGGGCCCCACACCTGTCCAGCCATGACAGGCTCCAGGTGCCAGTGGATGCCACCCTCCTCCTTCTCCCTCTGCAGAGCGCGCTGAGAAGCTGGGCCAGAGCCTCACCAAGATCCCCTACAAGGACACGTTCTGGAAGGGCACAACCCGCACTCGGCCCAGTAAGGACTGGGGGTCCTTTGGCAGGGGGTCATGGTTCCCCCATGCCCTGCCAGTGCCAGACCCTGGGTCTGGCAGCTGTGGGCATCCAGCCCCCTTCTCCTGCAGGGAATGGGACCCTCAACAAACTTGCTGGGATCGACTTCAAACAGCTGAGCCTAAGTCAGAAGCTCAACGAGAACCAGTCGGGAGAGGTAGGTCCCTCCTGCCCTCAGACAGGCCTGTGCAGATCCCCCATGTCCTGGCCCTGCCAGGCACGGCCGCTCCAGGGTCCCGCAGCTGGGTGCAGGGGGGGCTCCTGCCTGGGTCATTGTGGACCCTTGGTCCCATGCGCTCCAGAGGCCCCCCGAGCCCCAGGCAGGAGCCTGGAGGGGGTTGGGAATCTCCTGCCCTTCTCACAGTGCCTGTGCCCCTGCTCCCCCTCCAGCTGTGGAAGGGTCGCTGGCAGGGCAATGACATCATCATCAAAATGCTGAAAATCCGGGACTGGACGACACGGAAGAGCCGGGACTTCAATGAGGAGTACCCCAAGCTGCGGTGAGTGCCCCACCTGCCCCAGACCAGCACTAGCACTTGCTTGGGGCCACCCACCTCAGCATCTGGCCAGGGCCATCACAGCTCTCAGGGTGTGGGGCAGGTGGGACCTACCCTACTCCACAGGGCCAGGAATGCTCCAGAGCAGTGCCCAAGGGCTGGTAGGCCCTGGGGGATGACAGGGAACAGCTAAGGGGGTGCAGGCAGCTCCCCCCACCGCCCCATTCTCAGGGCTGTCACTTCTCTTGCAGGATCTTCTCCCACCCCAACGTGCTGCCGGTGCTGGGTGCCTGCCAGGCCCCCCCAGCCCCCCATCCCATTGTCATCAGCCACTGGATGCCCTATGGCTCCCTGTACAACGTCCTGCACGAGGGGACCAGTGAGTTCTGGGGGACAGCACATTTGGGGGTAGTGGAGCCCCCTCCAGCTGCAGCCCTGGGGTAGGCTCACCCCCTGTCATGCCCTCCCCAGACTTCGTGGTGGACCAGATGCAGGCAGTGAAGTTTGCCTTTGACATTGCACGGGGCATGGCCTTCCTGCACACGCTCGAGCCCCTCATCCCGCGGCACCACCTCAACAGCCGCAGTGTCATGGTGAGTGGGGGGCCCAGGCCCCCTCCCAGAGCAGGAGGGCTCCCCGGGGGCTCCTGCCAACCACCCCCTCTCCCCAGATCGACGAGGACATGACGGCGCGGATCAGCATGGCCGACGTCAAGTTCTCCTTCCAGTGCCCGGGAAGGATGTACGCCCCAGCCTGGGTGGCCCCTGAAGGTGAGCGCCCTGTTCCCAGCCCCACAGCCTGGTCCCTCTCCGCCCCAGCCCCGCTCACCCCCTGCCACCCCCCAGCTCTGCAGAAGAAGCCAGAGGAGATCAACCGGCGCTCGGCTGACATGTGGA